AACCTGAGTTCTAATGATAAGTGTACATAATAAAGATTATTTATATTTTCAGATTAAAAACCGAACTCTCAGGGTAGGTTTAATGAATTTATTCTTTGGTGTGGCATGGCCAGTCGGTGCAGCACTTTCCGGTGTTTTGTATCAAAAGCTAGGATTTTTYGGAGTGTACTATATCTCAACAGCGTTATATATGATAGCTTTTATTTACGGCTCAGTCAACATCAAAGAACATCATGGGCCATTAGRTCTAAAAGAGCCCAAGCAGACATCCAACTCTTGCATGTATCTCGTGGTAGATTTTTTCAATCTGAAACATATCAAAAAAGCATTTCACACAACGTTCAAAAAAGGCCCACGAAAAAGATGGACGAAAATCATCATGCTGATGTTTACAATAGTTGTAATCCAAGGTCCTTCACATGGTGTGTATTAAAAGTATTATGTTTTATACTAAAATCATTGCTGCTCAGATTTCTAATGTCCGGTTGTTAAACGTTAATGTTATTTTTTTAAGCAATGCATTAAAAAAAAAACATATTTCATCACAATCTGTACCACAAGACACAATAAGAATATAATAACAGAGAAATAAGAATATTAAAAAATTAGCCTACCACTAATGAAAAAATTAGCTATTTTCTTTCATAAGTTTTAAACATTTAAATTGTTTATGTTAGACGAGTTATAGTTAATAGTAAATAGATAAATAGATCACCTCATCAGTTTTGCTAAATCATCTTGAAAGATTTCCAATAGTTATATTAGTTATAATTTATTGTGAAATTATTCTCCTTTACCATTCACTAACATAAAACAATTATTTCAGGAGAATCTGGAATTACCTACTTTTACACTCGAGTTCGTTTCAATTGGAATGAATTGGATTACAGTTTATTCTCGACATTCTTATTTATGACAAACATTGTAGGTAAGGACAGTTATTCGTATATAGAGTAAATAATACATGTATAGAGTGGATCAATTTTATTTTAGGCGTTGGATTCTCGATAGGAGTTTTGAGCCACTTATTGAAATTAGACGACGCACTCATTGGAGTGATCGCTTGCCTTAGTAAAGTATTAGCTGGATTGGTATTTGCATTTGCACCTTCAGAATTATATTTTTATATTGGTAAGCATGAATTTAATTTTTAAAATAATCAATACATTAATGTTATTGATGTATAATATTTTTGAAAGATTATATTTACAATCTGTTTACACTAAATTACAATATGGAGATTAAGTCAAGTTAGGATGGATTGATTGTTGGTATGCCTATTGATACAGTGAGCTTAATTATTCAGAAAGGCTTTCGGCCATTTTTGATTTGGATTGTCAGGGTAAGCGATGGAAGAAACGGTCATACCTATATAAGTTATATTGAATTTTTTTTTAATAATATCATTATATTATATAAATATTTAGTTAGAATGATTATAATAGTATTTKTATGAAATTCTTTGAAACAGTATAAGTCTAGCATAGCGATTTTGATATTTTAAATTCTGTATAAAGAGATTTCTAATGTACTAAAGACATAACAGATGAGACAAAGGCATTTTGATTGGAAATACTTAAAAAGATACTGATTTTAAAAATTTTTCAGTGCACCACATAGTTGAATACCGTTGGTTATCAAAAATATTTGTTTATAGAGAAGGTGTATGGTGTTTAGTGGGAATGTGGGATATTCGTTAGAGATTGTTGTTGGATTTGTGGTATCTTATATTATGTTATAAGGGACTTTGTTTTTATATGATTCACACAAGTAGTATTTTGGCACGGTGATTTTAAGTTGCATTCGGCATTTTTCGTTTCTAAAAATGTATTTAGTAAATTGCACGCATAGAGTATCTATATGTAACCTCGAATTTATCGATATATAACAATAGAWCTGGAAAAGATTTGGAGAATCAAAAAACAAAAGTTGTTAATTAACTTTCATATTAGAACTGTTGCTCGTAATAATCAATTTTCAAATATTGAGTATTGATTTCTGTTTAAAAATATAAACTATATTGTAGCCTTGTGTATTATAAGTATAGGTATAAGTGTATTATAATTTATAACATGTTTACGTATCATATGTTATTATGTTAACTAAAGCGGAAGAATGACTTGTTACCACGACCAACCTATAGATTGTTATTGTAATTTATTTATTGATATATGTGTTATAATTGTATGGCTATTTTATTTTTATTTTAGAATATACGGGTTGACCCTTTTTGTATATTAACAGGGGCTACAACCTATTTGCACCCCAGAGTAGTACATTTGCGCACCGAGCGATATGGACAGATACGCCCGAAAGATTAGGTACTACCTGTCGATATGCACCAGGGCGATTGTAAATTCTCCCGGTGGTAAACTCTCCTGATGGTAAACTCTCCCGGGTCTACTCCATTACTACCTGACGGAAACGTGTAAACTCTCCCGGGTTTATTCCTGTACTACCTAACGGAAATATGTAAACTCTCTTAGGTCTATTCCTGTACTACCTAATGGAAATATGTAAGCTTTCCTAG